GGGAAGCTGTCAGATGGTGCCATCAGATGGCTTTCCTCTTCTGCTGGGAGGGAGCCAGGCATGTCTGTGGTGAGGAACAGGAGCTGGTAGCAAGAGAGAGTGGAGGGACCCAGGACCAAAGGGCTCCTCTTTCCCATTGTCGCGACCCTTCAGGGGCCGAGGCAACACGCCCAAGGTCTTGATTCTTCTCTAGGCTTTATTGTCTAATCTCTCGCGGCGGTTACAGCAGTTGTCAGGAAGCTCTTCTCCCTCCCGGCGGGCTCCCTTATATTCAGTCACCCAACCAATCCGGGACAGTATCATGCGTGACCTTTAAGCAGATAGGTGTCACGCACCACTCTAAGCGGGCAGCACGAGCTGTGCACGGGTACGGAAGTCTGCTGGGCCAATCCCCAACAGGGAAGAGGGGAAAGGGTGGTGAGCAGGAAGCAGGCGCCATCTTTAGGGCGTTGTCCAGCTAGAGTGGGGCTCAGCCTTGGCCGTAGGCCGGGCCCCCACAAGAACAAAAAGGCATCCTCCAGTATGGGAGAATATATTCATAAATGACATATCCAATAAGGGGTTGACATCCAAAATATACAAAGAACTCATGCATCTCAACAAACAAAAAGCAAATAATCCAATTAAAAAATGGGCACAGTATCTGAACAGACACTTCTTCAAAGAAGAAATTCAGATGACCAAAAGACACATGAAAAGATGCTCCACATCGCTAAGCATCAGAGAAATGCAAATTAAAACCACAGTGAGATATCACCTCACACCAGTTAGGATGGCCACCATCCAAAAGCAAACAACAACAAATGTTGGTGAGGATGTGGAGAAAAGAGGAACCCTCCTACACTGCTGGTGGGAATGTAAATTTGTTTAACCATTGTGGAAAGCAGTATGGAGGTTCCCCAAAAAACTCAAAGTAGAAATACCATTTGACCCAGGAATTTCACTCCTAAGAATGCAGCAGCCCAGTTTGAAAAAGATATATGCACCCCTATGTTTATCACAGCACTATTTATAATAGCCAAGATATGGAAGCAACCTAAGTGTCCATCAGTAGATGAATGGATAGAGAAGATGTGGTACATATACACAATGGAATACTATTCAGCAATAAGAAGAAAACAAATCCTACCATTTGCAACAACATGGATGGAACTAGAGGGTATTATGCTCAGTGAAATAAGTCATGCGGAGAAAGTATCAAATGATTTCACTCATCTGTGGAGTATAAGAACAAAGAAAAAACTGGAGGAACAAAACAGCAGCAGAAGCACAGAACCCAAGAAAGGACTAACAGTTACCAAAGGGAAAGGGACTGGGGACGGTGAGTGGGAAGGGAGGGATAAAGGGAAAAAAGGTAATTACAATTAGCACACATAATGTAGGCGGGAGGCACAGGGAAGGCAGTATAGTACAGAGAAGACAAGTAGTGATTCTGTAGCATCTTACTATGCTGATGGACAGTGACCTTAATGGGGTATGTGGCGGGGACTTGATAATGGGGGGAATCTAGTAACCACAATGTTGCTCATGTAAGTGTATATTAATGATACCAAAATAAAAATAAATAAATAAGTACATAGTGCCAACATAAAAGAGTACTTTTCCAAAATAATGGACTATTTAGTTCTACAGCTGGGATTCACCTGTCTCCACAAAGCCACATACCCACCATGTCTTTCCAAATGTAAGGAACATATCCGTACATTCTAAAATTATATATGTGAACTATATGGTAGCTCCCACTCTTCAGGTTTATGGTTGAAGTAGCACTTGGAATAGTGCCTTGAACAATGTGGACATTTCATAGATATTTTTTGAATGCATGCTGAATGAGATACAGTTCAGTTCAAAGGACTGTTTTGTAGGATATGTTTGTGACTGTCAATAATACTGTTTCCTTTCTCTCCAGAAAGCATTATACTACTTTTTAAAGGCAGCAAAGGCCGGGAGTGCAAATGCCATGGCATTTATAGGAAAGGTACATTCTTCATCCTGATCAATACCTTTCACTTCTTAAAAAAACTAAGAAATTAATGGGACCAGCTAAATGAACCCAGTGTAGGTGACAGAGCTGCAGGCCTCTTTCACAGGGGGTTCCACTGCAAACTGAAGATAGTATTCTTGAAGTGACAGTTTGGGAAGAAACCCATACAACAGCAGCCTTTATCGGGGGCACCAAAATCAGCCTTGAAAGTGTACCTGTCCCAGGGCTCCTTGGCTGAGTGTAGCTCAGAGCCACCTCTCTCCCTTCACCATGACCCCCCACTTTGGCACATAACAGGATTTCTGGGATGGTCATGCATGGAACTGGTACAGGCCATGACCCAGTGAGGTGCCTCTTCCCTCTATTCCAGGAACGAGAACCAGCTTGAGGCTGACGCAAGTACATCCTTGGGCCACCTCTAATGGGAGGACACTCTGGCTGCTGAGCAGCTTTTGAGAGAGGCCTGTTCTCTCTCCCTCAAAGACCATTCACTGCCCCAGGGCTGTCCTTGGGTCCCTGACGATTTGGATTAGAACCCATGGGGACAAATACTCCACTTCCAGAAGTGCCACATACAGTACATTCAGATGCAAGGAAACATATGAGAAAACACAAATAGGGTCCATTTGTTTTCCCTCAGGCAAAGTCACTCCAGATTGTATGTAGTAGATTATTTCCTTACTTTTTCCTCTTACTAAAATTGAGATGAAAGTCAAATGACATAAAATTAAACATCTTAAAGTGTACGATTCTAATGTCATTTACTATGTTCACAATGTAGTGCAACCATCTCCTCTATCTAGTTCTAAAACATTTTCATCATCCTCAAATTCTCTAGTATTTTACATCCTTTCCAAATTTTTTAAAATTTCATTTTATTTATTTATTTTTTTGTAGATGTATTTAGAAGGGAATGCTGCAACACCACAAAATAATGCTACTGCCTTCAAATATTTTTCCATGGCAACCAGTAAGGTATGTACTTGGCGTTTTCCTGTAAACACATTAAAACATGTGGTCTGATGCCGTAAAGTTGATTCCAAAGCCCCATACCCAGCTACTTGACCCATGAGTTTTGTGTCCTGGAGGAGAACATCGTTGACAATAAAATGGAGTTAAAATGGGGAGAGACACATCTTGTCTTCCTGGTACACGGGAAAGGGCAGTGACTTGTGTTGCCCTAGCAAGAGGCCAGGTTGGAGCTCAGCTTTCCTCCCCGCCATGTAACAGGTTATGTAGCTCAGGAAACAAGAAATCAGAGATGAGGACAGAGGAAGGAAAACTCAGTCAATAGCTGCAGTTAGTTCATAACAAAGATAAATAAGAAATGCCCAGTTTTCTCCAGTTCAATCTTACCCAAAGGTCAGAAATCCCTCTGGCCTAGGCAGAAGATTGCCAGTGAGGTGGTCAGAACAAGACTGGTGAAAGCATGGCTCTGGAGACAGAATTGCTGGTTTGAACCCTAGCCCTGCAACTTACTAGCTGTGTAACCATGGGCAAGTTACTTAACCTCTCTGTGCTTCTGTTTCCCCACATGTAATATGGGAATATAAAAGAATTTGCCTCCTACTGTTGTCAGAATTTAATGAATTAATATTTATGTGCCTCATATTGTAAAGTACATAAAGCAGTGCCTGGGACATAGTGCAATCTGTTATGTTTTGCAGTCTGAGGCCAGGTAGGTGGAGTGAACTTAAGATAGAATGGATTGGCTCAGTGAAGGAAGGTAGAAATTGTATATAATGTGGCTCTTGCTGGTGAGGTTTTTGCCTTCGTTCCTAGGCCCTGTGAGGCTGCTATCAGTCAGCTAAAACTTCATAGACTATTTCGAATACTTTTAGTATATAAAGAATGTTGTTGAAACACCCATCAGCCTAATGTGGGTGAATGGCCTTGATAAACTTTCTCTCTCTGTACAGCAGGAGGCATTTTGTTGTCTTACAATGCCCTGCTGCAACACTGGCAGTAAGATGTGCTCAAGTTGGGGAGTACTTTCAACTGTTCTCAGTTTTTAAAAGCCCACACATGCTTTAGGAGCCTATTTATAAATCACTAGCACCTCAGAGCTGCTGCTATTGTGGTGTAAATTACTGAGAAGGCTGCTACTCTGCTCTTCTGCCTTGTAATTTGTATGAAATTGTTACTCAGTAAGACAGTTATCTGGAGTACCATTAGATTAGGATGACAAGGGAGAGCAGACTGAAAAAGAGGTGGGGTAATAGAACAGAGGAAGATCTCTGGTAATCTGGCAAAGAACACTGATTTGTCAGCCCCAGGAAATGATGCCAGGAAGTTGAGTGGGTAAATTAACCGAACCCCCAAAATGTTCAGTGTAACCAGCAGTTATCTCAGCTACTTGTGTTCTAAACCTGAGTAGCTTCCCTTACAGAGAAAATCTGAAATTACATTTAAGGTAGTTATTCTGAATAACATCAGGTGGACGTATATTCCTTTATCACCACCTGAACAATTTATTAGATTTCTCACTTGAGGTCATGGCCAAAGTGAAGAGATTTTGTCTTCCACTCTTTGCACACCCATATTATCATTTCACTAATTTTTTTTGAAAAACCATTGCTTTTTGTACTTGTTTTTAAGTCATATCAGTGGATGCAAAATTATAACTTGTTGATCTCTTTCGTCTTATTTACTGAGAAACGTGAACAGTTCTAGGTGATGTCAGACAGTATTCTCCTTTTTTTCTTTCACACTTCTGAACACATCAGGCACATCCCCACTCCACACTTCTGTCATTGCCCCTCCCTTCACAGAACCCCCTACTCTGAGTCCTGCCCACCCCCTAGAGGGAAGTCCACTGCTCTCCTCCCACTAAGCCACTCCTCACCCCTTGGCTCCCACCATTTTTTCCTTCTTCTGAACTTGCCCTGCATTCACTCTCCATACTTCTGGAACTTTATTTCTTTACCTTGTGCCTTCTCTCCTGCTGTCTGAAGGTCACATCTCCTCAACTAGAAGAAGATGATAGTCTTACTACATAGGTGGGATTCATCAAATATTTGCCAAACAAATGACCATCTGCTCCCTAAGTCCATGTCAGTTAACCTAAGCAAGAGCATTGAGCCCTAACGTGGAAATTGTATGTGGGGGCATTGCCTACACATATGTTTTGTTTGGCCCAGGAAGTGTTCTACACATTAGGAAATTTCATATCCAAATCTGGACATCCATCTTTTCTTGGAACATGGGAAGAGCTGACCCCCTGAGGCTTCTTTTCTGTGCAAAAATAACTGTGTGGAGCAGAGAGCTGCAGATCTGCCGCTGCCTTTAAACATGGCTCAGACTCTCTGCTTTGTCTCAGCCTCCAGCACCCCTCCAGCACCTGGAAGGATGGACTTTTTACATCACCTGTATGGCTCTGGAGGTATCTGAGCTGGCCACTCCTGACCTGAAAGTTCTAAACAGGTCCTCTGGGCCTTAAACAGTTGGCAAGTCATCTCTTGAGCCTCCCTCGCCCCAGGCTCCCAGGCACTCTCTTAGAGAAGGAAAGTAATCTGTTCCCACCACTCTAACCTCTCTCCTTCTTTTCTCCCTTCTTCCTTCCCTTCAGTTTTCCTCAACACCTAAATGAGGATAGTTAGAAGAAGACAGACTCACTAGACTTTACCACATCCATCACACCAGGCCTTACTGTCCCAGACCAGACTGTCCCAAGGCTCTTAGGACCACAGAGAGGTGTAGTCAGGGGAAAAGAAGGAAGAAGAGAGCAGACATATCCCCGCTGTTTTAAATACAGATGGACTGTCCTTGAGAATGCTTACAACAGCTGGCCCTTTGGTATGCATAGGCTCAAACTCTGGAGTCTTGAAATAGTTTTTGAACTATGCCTTCTCTAGTTATGTGCTGTTTTATTTTTAACCACTGAGGGGTACTCTGATGTGTCCACAATAACTACATTTAGACGGCAAGAAGAAATTCAGAGTTTTCTATCAAAACAAGTTCCTGGGGCAATACTATAAACCTATAAAACAAACCTACAGATCAGCTCAATGAAAGCCAAGTGGCCAAATGTAGCTCCTTGCTCAGTCACTAAAGGGAGAAATGCTTGATGGGTGATAAAAAGAAAAAGTGTTTCTAGGTTGAGGAAGTCACTTTCAAGGTTCACTCTTCATCCAGGATTAATATGGTAAATATCAATATATTTGAACATGTGCTGAATGTTAAATTTGCTAGATACTCTTTTCCTTATACTGTTCAAAATACTAATCAGAAAGAGAAATGGTAATTAATTTAGCACCAAGTGGAAAACATCAGTGATTTTATAAACAGTCAAATTTGAATAAAGAAATATATACCAATAATGCTTTACCATCTGTAATGGCTAGATTGAAATTCAATCTCTAAAATATTATTTTTCCATTTATGCCAACCTTCTTGCACCAAAGCAGGAAACAAGTGTCTGGATAGACTTCTCCTTTCTGGAAAACTCCTACTCATTCTTCAAGACCTGGCTCAAATATCACTACCTCAACTCAATTCACTCAGTCCCTACCCTCATCCAGGCAGCTCAGTGACCATCTTCTAAGTGCCCACAACACTCTCAATCTGTTCCTACTATAGGACTTAATTTGACATGATTACCTTAAGAGGTCCAACCTGGTAGGTAAGAGCCCACTAGCCTGTGAACTGTCTAAGCCAGGGATCGTGGTTTATTCATCTTTGAACTTTTACCTCTTACCTCTGTCCAATGCCTATTATGGTGTCACACAGCAAGCAAGCACTAAATAAATGCTGAATGAAGGAATGGAAGAAAGATTTTACTTTACTTTCCCTCCTCTCTTTCTAGTCAGAGGAGTTTTTGAAGGTGTGAAAGGAGGAGCTAGAGAGGTGCAGAATAACTTGCTTACTCCCTGATTAACCTGCCTTGATTGATCTCCTATTGAGTGCATTTCAAATATTTGGAATGATTTTGCAGTAATCTTCCTTATCATGAATTCTGGGAGTTTACTTGGATTTTTGAAATTATTCCAGGGTAATGCAATTGGTCTCCATGGGCTCGGTCTTCTTCACTTTTATGGGAAAGGAGTTCCTGTGGTAAGTTAAATGACTTCATTGTCTTTTCAACATATTTCTAAAAATTTATAAGGTAAAATTCATGATCACTGAGTTCAAGGAATCAGTCTCTTACCTGGTTTGCCACACTATCATATCTATAGAGAATAAAATAATCCAGTGAAATATTTGCCAATGAGACATAGAACAAGTTTGTGACAAAAATAGCAACTAATTATGTTTTAAAATCATAGATTCTAAGTAACCTTAGAAATGATCTAACCCTGAGGATGTTTTTTGATAGAGAAATTTATCTTCTAAGTGTGACCTCTGTCTTTTGAGTCATCTTCCCCCAATATCTAACAAGACCTACTGTCAGTGTAGGAAGAGACATAATCTACAGTGAATATGACATAATTATTTCTTAATATAATCTAATATAATAATGAAATAAAACACCTATACTTCTGATACTATATTAATTAGCCTCAATCACATAAGGAACTATCTATGCTCTTTTTCAAAAACTGGAAGGTACTTGTTACCATGGAGTTACACATAAGCCTTTGAGTAACAAAGTGTAATTATCTTGCAGAATTATGCTGAAGCACTTAAATACTTTCAGAAAGCTGCACAGAAAGGATGGCCCAATGCACAGTTTCAGTTAGGCTTCATGTACTACTGTAAGTGTGACAAATATGGCTACTTTGCTTAGAATGCCAAATGTATTGTTAAACCTGCTCTTTTTTTATCATAATTCAAAGCATTGGGGTGTGCAGTTTAGATAGAATTTGAGGAGGAATTTGAAGAATTCTGAAGGAAAGGACACCAGTTGGGGCAGGAAGCAAGGAGACATAGTGAGGAAATTCATCTCTGAAAAAGTTAAGTTTGAGGTGCCTTGTGATATCCAGTGCACATCCCCAGAAACAGGTCTGACACAAGAAAGGTCAAACTTGGGGAAAAAGATCTAGGAGGCATCAACATACAGGTGTTAGTTCTAAGAGCAGCTGAAACTACAAAGGAAAAGGAGAAAGTGTGAGAGGAAGGAGAAGTGGGCCATGGTCAGAAATCTGGACCTTGGTGCTGTCTTGAAAAGATGGGCAGAGAAAGAGTGGTCACAAGAAGACCGAAAAGTCTTGGTCAAAAGAATAGAGGGAGAAAAGTGATCTTAAGGAAGCTAAGAACTTTCAGGAAAGAATGAATGAATAAGCACTCCTATGAAATGCAATGAGGAGACTGGTTTTCACTTAAAAAAAAAAAGAGCCGAACATCCATGGGACTTGTCAGTATGGAGGATGCTTGTGAGGTCATTAGACTGGTTGGGTATAATGGAAGGTGAGAAAGTAGATGGATAAAAATATTTTTGGAAGTACTGTGCCTTTAAATGAAAGGAGAGAGATGGAATGATAGCATGAGGGGGCTAAGAACCAAGAGGGAGTTGTTTTTAAGACAGTGAGAGGCCTGAGTACAATTTTTGGCTAAAAAAAAAAAAAAGAGAGAGCCAGCCAGTGAAGGTGGTTATGTGTCATGGGAGAGAGAAGGTAAGTGAGGAAGAGGATCTATAAAAAGCTGGGTGGCACTGTGATCTGATTGGGCCCAAATAGGTGGGGGCCTCACTAGCCTTGATAAAGGGGAGGGATTTCTCACCCTCCAAGACTGGAGAGAGGGAGGAAAGGCTGGTGCAGACATAAATCTGAGGAAGAGGAAGAGAGGCAAGTGAGAAAAGACAATGTAAGGTTTCCTCGGTCAGCCAGGCGGTACAAAGTTGTCTTCTGAGAGGGAAGGTAGAGTAGAGTGATTGGCACAGGAGTTCTCAGAAAGCCATGAAGGTTTGTACTGATCTCTGTGGGGACTGATAGAGGGAGTGGCCAAGACAAGTACCAGGAGATCTGGACATACCTGAGTATCTCTGCTACGTCCCTCCTGTCAGAGGTGGAGCTGGGGTCTCAGTGGACTGCACCACCAGGAAGTCAGATCTTGCCCAGAAGTCAGCTGTCATTTTCCACAGTAGCCCAGGGGGAAAGCCCATGCTCTGTTGTCTTGGAGGGTTGCCTAAAGTGGCCTTGTTCCAGTTCATTCCAAGTCCCAGGCCTAGGAACTATCAGATTCCTCAAGCACCTAGAATAAGAGTAATAGTATTGGCTAGTGTTTATTAGTCTATATAGGTATTTACTTATTTAGTCCTCTCCACACATCTAGGGGGTACCCCATAGTTTACAGAAGAGGTAATTGAGCCACATGGACGTCAAACATCTTGCCCAAGATTACACAGTTAGTGGAGCTGGGATTCAAACCCAAGTGATCTGCCTCCAGAGCCTTTGCCCTTAGCCACTATCTACATGGCACTGCTTCTAAAGGCTCTGAAATGTTAGAGCTGGAAGGCAATTGAAGGACAAGTAGTGACAGTCCCTCCTTTAGCAAATGAAGTGCCTAGAGGTGCCCAACTCACAAAGGGAGTAATGGAAGAGCCAGGACAAGGATCCCAGCTGCTGGGAGTAAGATGATTTTGCACCCTAGCTCCAAATGATTCTCCTTACTAGAAGCATGAGTTAAATCTGAGCTGGGCCTTTTGGAGCTGGGATTTGCCTGCTCCAAACATTGCATAGGAAGGAGCTACTGATCTCTTGGTGAGGAAATGTGACAAGGATGGGCAGACACATCATAGTGGGGCTTCTGGTCCTCAAAGACCATCACATGGTCTCCTTTCATTAACTTCAGTTGTACTATATTGAGGAGATATTTTCATGGGACTAAACAGTCCTTCCCCTTCAGTTTTCTGAATGGGTCAACAACATCAAAAATTTCCATATTCTTACTTACTACCCAACTTGACTTTCTTCCCCACAAATAGTGGATCTAGAGCAGCTTGACTTTTGGCTGGCTCTTCTATCCTATTTAAAACACTAAGCATCACTATGACCATTACATTCATAGATTATAATGTAAAAACTGAAATGAATAAGGGGTGTCTCAAAATAACTTTGATTTTCAGATGGCTCTGGAGTATGGAAGGATTATAAACTTGCCTTCAACTATTTTTACTTGGCATCTCAGAGTGGGCAGCCCCTTGCCATTTATTATCTGGCCAAGATGTATGCCACAGGAACAGGAGTGTTAAGATCATGCAGAACTGCTGTGGAGGTAAATAATCGGATGTTTTAAAAGCACTTTTCATTTGTCACACAGAGAGGCGATACTGTCCTTAAGTTGTTGGTGCCTTTGGTTTTGTAGATATTACCTCTTTTCTTCCAGTTGACAATGTGAACACTGACATTCACCAGGGAGGAACGGCAGTGATGAAACTCAGACTGGGAAAACAGGGGAAGAAAAACAATCCCTCCTCTCTCAGATCTGGTTTCTCATCAAGTTCAGGGCTAACCTCAGAATTCAGTTAAGGGGCTCTATTTCAGCCTTCAATCAAATTGCCCGGGCAAATTGGCATTTCTAGCAGGATTAGGAGTTACGACTTGGTAAATGAAAGGCTAGATTTAGCCTAGAAAATATAGCCCACTTCTTCCCAGAAAGCAGGATCCTTAGGTTTTTGATGATTCAGATAAAAACTGACAAAGTGAATTTTTTCAGCCTGAGCCAGTGATATGCTTTTCAGAAAGAATGCTTTTAGAACCTTAGTACCCTTCATCGATTTATTAAACACTTCCACTGCACCAATACAGATACCTCCATGTTGCAATCTGGCCCCTTTGAAACTCATTTGAAAAGCTGCCAGCTAATAATCTATCTTTAGATTTGCTCCTTTGCCAACTTCTTAATGAATTATGTATGGCTAACCTCTTTTGGTTACATAAGGGCTATTCAGCTAAGTTGACGTTTTTCCCCATAGAGCTCTGCACACCTCCCTGGTGGTTATGCCACCTACCCCCTCAGGCACTGTCTTCCCTTCATTCTCTACTTGCCACATCAGTAGTGTGGCCTTATAACGTGACCTTGCTGAGCAGCAGTGCCCAGAAAAGCCCTTTTTTAAAAAACAGAAGTCAATGCATTCTTGTCCTGCCAAATAGCCTCCAACTTAGGAAAGTTTATTATGCATATTTAAAATGAGCCTCAGGAAGTTTCAGCTCAAGACAAAAAAACACACACTTGTAATCTTTGAGCCTATGAAAGCTACTATATCTTCAACCTAAATAATTTGCAAAAGCCATGCTTAGACCTAAAACCCTTGCCTGACCAGCCAGCAAGAGCTAAAAACTGACTTCATTTTATCATTCACCTAGAATGAAGTATTCTGGCTAACTAATCTGCTTGATTTCTCCTCCCATATACAGCTTTATAAAGGTGTCTGTGAACTAGGCCACTGGGCCGAGAAATTCCTGACTGCATACTTTGCGTATAAAGATGGTGATATAGATTCTTCTCTTGTTCAGTATGCACTACTGGCAGAAATGGGGTATGAAGTAGCTCAAAGCAATTCAGCATTCATTTTGGAATCTAGTAAGATAAGTTACAATTCTCAGCAATTTCTGATCATACATATGTATACATGCCTTTACTACAGGATCTTTTAAGCCTTTTTCACAGAATGTCTGTTTTTTTTAGAAAAGGCCAAAATTCTTGTAAAAGAGAGGATGTATCCAATGGCACTTCTCCTATGGAATCGAGCTGCCATTCAAGGTATCGAACCTGGATAAAAATGAGTGCATACCCAGCCCCGTCTGCTATTATTCATCTGACTTGCTCTAGCTGACTGTTAAGACACACAGACAGAAAGGTGTAGGCTATCTAGCAGGTGGCATTCCAAACTGTACTGATGTTAGCGTCAGTCTTTGGTTAGAGGTCATTGCCAGTAATTTCTTTTCTGTTATTCTCAAGTTCCCTGGTTTAGAAAACCATAGGAATTTTTCTATGGCTCTGTCTCCATAGCACCAAAACAGTTGTTTGAAACATAACAATTTTACTCAAGAAGCCATTGTTCTTGGTCTGACTTCAGTCACTCATTTGCTGAAATTTTTCTGAACTTATCAGAGATGTGACCTATGTCTCAATGCTTTTGTAGGCAAAATTACTTAGGAACCTAAGACTCTGTTCATTTCTCTTTTAAAATATCTCATTGATGATTACCACAAACTTCAGGTCTTTATGGTAACTATGAGCATGTTAACATCAGAAAACAAAACCAAATACAACCCAGAGTTAAATGGCAAGATGCTCTCCGCATTCCTGGCACTCCCATGCTCTACCTGAAGGGATCACATGTGATGAGGAAGGTAGGGGCTTTGGTGGGAAAGCATTGGCAGGTGGCATTTGCATCACTATGTCTCATTCCATTCCTTCCCTAAAAGTATGTTATTAACAGCAGAGAGATGCTGCACAGCTGTCACTATCAGTCTTTGGACATGTGAAGAACTCTCTTGCAGTAAAAGAGCAATTTCATTCTAACTAAGTTTCTTAAAATAATCTCATGCTAAGGCCAACTGATCTCATTTCTGTAAGAAGTAAATGGGATAAAAAATAATAATTCTTAACCGATGCTGATGCAGAGCAGAGGAAAAAGTCACAGTAGTGCCTGCTCGTATCCAGCTGAGCCAGTGATGCAGTGGCAAGCCATCCACGCAATGTCAGTGAGAAATCCCCCAAGAAAGAAAAGGCTATGTTTCTAAAATGCAATAAAGACCTTGCTCAGAGTGGGGGGAACAACACCCGCTATGGCAAGTCAGCCCAACTGCAATAAATACAGGCTCATTCCAAGCAGGAAATGATGTGGAAAATTGCACCAAAGCAAAGAGATATTAAAAAGAAGGGGACATTAATATTAAACAGAGTTCTCCCATATGAGAAAAGTCAGGCTGCTAAAAATAATGTTTCACAAGCAAGGTTAGGCATGAGTGTCCCCGAAGATGTGGCTGTTGAGTGGCTCACCTGAGGCTGGGAAACCTAATAATAAAAGTGTCTGACCTGCCACTGGTGGAGCTTCCTCACGGTGGCTGCACATGAGGACAGGGCAGAAGTGCCAGGACCCAGTCACCACCATGTGACTGAGAAATCAAAGGGGAAAACCTGCCCACTGTCTGGTGCCCCCTGGGAGCCTTTCAGGATCACAACGTGCCCCCAGTCAGCCCACTAGTTAGGGTGCAGCCGGATCCTCTGGAGAACCTGCTTGTTTCCTTCCCTTCTCAAGACTTCAGGGGTCCTGCTTGCTGCTTGTAAAGCTGGAAAATGCACAGAAATCCTGTCCTTCAGTGGTTATGGCCCAGAGGAATCTTGGGGTCAAAGGAGGGCAAAACTGGAGATGGGGTGGATTTCTCTTTAGGGCTCCTGGGGCCTCTTGCCCCTCCAGGCCCCTCTTCTGGGCGACATTTGCATTAAGGACTTGCCTCGGCTACCTATAAATTTTGAAGCAACTGGGAAGCAAACTCTGATAACTAATGTCTTTGGCAGCTTAAGAATTTTATGACATTACCTTTACTCAGAGAGAGCTGAAGATGGGTCATGGTATTACATTTTGATAGAGGATTCTAGAAGATTTAAAAGAACTTCTCTATTTAAAGGAATCAATCCAAAGGAGCTTATTAGGCATTGCACTAGGTCAAGTGGGCAGGAAATTTTGGAAGGAGCCCTATAACCCTTAATGATGCACCTCAGACCGTACCACAGGGGTACTTTTTACTTTTCCAAGTAAGCCTGGACTTAGCGAGAAGGGTTGGCCACAGCTGAGATGGATGTCCTAGGTGAGCATTCCTCATCTTTTCAGTCAATACTATGCTAATGAGTGGCAACACGGACCCCAGAGAGACCCTAAATGGCCTTCAAAAGCAGGAAGTCTCATATTTTAAAAAGTCACATGAGTTTTTTCTTCTGCTGAATAGATCCATGTTTGTTTAAAAGATTCTAAATCACTTAAAATCTAAGAAAAGGATTTTCTAAGAAGTCCCCTACTGTGTCCATTAATTCCATAAATATTTGTCAAGTACCACTCTAGTTTCTGGGACTCTATCAGTGATTAAGAACTTCAAAGTTCTCGTCCTCATGAGGGCAGGAGGTGGACAGGATGCTTTAGGCCTCCAGGAAGGGATATGTGCAATGAGACCTGAATGATGAGAAGCCAGCCACATGAAGAGTCAAAGGAACTCCAAACATGCCAGGCAGAGGACTTGAAGAATCTTAATGCAGAGACTCTGAGGCAAGAACGAGCTTCATGTGTTGAATGAATATTAAGAAGATTAAGAAGTCTAGAGCATATGGAGAAAGTGACGTGCAGTGAGGTTAGCCAGGGAGGCAGAAGGCAGATAAGGCATGACTTATAGGTCAGATGAGGAGTCTGGATATTATTCCAAGTGCAAAGTGAGGCCCTTTGGGGATTACACAGGGGAATAACATGATTTGACTTTACACTTTAAAAAGACCATCCTTGCTGCTGCATGAAAAATATGTTGGAAAGTGGAGATAAAAGGACAGCTTGGAGGCTATTGTGGCAGTATTCCAGGCTTGGACTAGATAGTGGAGGAGATGATGAGAAACAGGTATGTTTTAGAAGTAGAACCCAAAGGACTTGCCCCAATGGATTCAATGATGGAAGGGAGGGAAAAATAACTAGGAATGATTACCTTAGATTTCTGGACTGAACAATAGCACTAGCACTGAGATAGGGGAAAAATGGATGATTTTGTTTGAAGGACGGCGTAGCAGGGTGTTAAGAATCTCTACTGAATATTTTGAGATGCAAGTAGAGAAGTCAGGAAGGCAATCATAAGCACCTGGGGCTAGGGGAGAGGTAAGTTTACAGATATAAATTCAGGAATAGTAAACATAGATGGCCATGGAACTAGATGAGTTCACCTAGAAAAAGAGTTGAGATAGAAGGGAGTGGTGGAGAGAGAAGGCAAAAGGAGAGAAAAGAAAGGAGAGAAAAATGGAAAAAAGGAGTCAAATAATAAGCTCTTGATACTCTGACATTGAGAAGCTGGGTAGAGGACAAGTCAGGCAAGAGTTTGAAAAGGAGAGACCTATAAGGCAGGAGGGAAATCCAGAGAATGCAAAGTCACTGATGTCAGGAGAGGAAGGTGCTAGGGCAGATAGGTCCAGTGATTCCAGGACTGCTTAGAGGTCCAGGGACATGAGCACAAGGAAATGGCCAATGGATCTGGCTGCACAGAGGTTATCAGGCACCGTGACAGTAGCCTTCTCACGGGGAAGAGGTAGACACCAGACTGGGGTGGGTGGAAATGTACATGGGAGGTGAAGCTCTGGAGACCAGGAGTGTAGAACACTCTTTCGAAAAGGCTGCGTGTAAAGGGAACAGAGGAATGGGGAGACACCACGGGATAAAGAAAGGGTTTATTTTTGTTCATAGAAGATACCAAAGTGCATTTGAGTGACTAAATGGGACTGATCTAAGGAGGAGGGAGAAACTGAACCAGGTGAATAAAGCTTCAGGAGTGAAGTCTGAGAACAGGAAGAGTGGGATACAGTTCCCCAAGAGCTGACCTACCTCCAAAAAATGAATTTTAAAGATAAAATTCACAATTCTTATTCTTTGAGAGCATGTATACTATCCCATGGGGGTAATCCTGCAAAGAAGGCAGCTAGCATTCAGTATTATATTTTATACTACAAAAATTATATCTCATCCTGATTCTGTGATTCTGAGTGTTCTTTTTTTCTTTTCTAGATATATTATCATTAGGTTGAGGTACTAGGAACTATACATGAGCCATGTCAGTTCTTCTCTTTCTAATATTTTCATCAGGCAATGCATTCGCTAGAGTAAAACTTGGAGATTACCATTACTATGGCTATGGGACTAGGAAGGACTATCAAACAGCAGCCGCTCATTACAGCATCGCAGCTTCCAAATATCAGAGTGCACAAGCCATGTTCAACCTGGCGTACATGTACGAGTATGGGTTAGGGATCACAAAGGTAAGTGTGTTGCTAATAATCCAAATTACTAATAGTGTGGGAAAATTTGTAAATGCTCTGAATTTCATTGATGTCATCAGTAAAGAGGAAGGAAAAAAAAAACCATGCACTACACCATTCCCCCATGCCAACCCAACACATGTTACCCTTACTCAGGAGGTATAAATTATTTTCTCCATTTATGCCCAAGGACACACACTAGTGACTAGAATAAATCTAGTCTAGGCTAATTTGCTTCATAAAGTTCATGCTTCTTTCCCAGCAATACTAGTGGGCTCTGCTTCCCCCCACTCCCTTCTGCCTCCAGGCCAGTTTCCATTAAGATTTTCATTGACTCTCAAACTCTCAGTAACATGGACAAAGTGGAAATGAGGTCCGAGTTGGATTAATCCAGGTCTTCTACAACACCCACTATGCACATGGCCATGCTGAGCACTCTAGAGAGGCCCAAGAAAATGGATCTCTATCCTTCAAAGACAACACTTGACTTGAGGAAATGAGGCATCTCTATTAAGAAAAAGGCTAACGCTACAAGGAGGTATTGAGTAGATCTCTCAGTAAGTGTAATGAAGGCAGATGGCATTGGGCTCTGACAAGGGGAGAAAGATATCTTAGCATCAGTAATGATAATAGCAAGGCATTGGTGTGTAATGGGTACTGTGTCATTTAAGCCACAAGATAACTGCCCAAGATAAGCCCTCAGGGCATGCATCAGGAAATCCCAGTGTGGAGAGGTTAAGTCACATGGCCAACTTTGCAGAGTTCATCAGTGATGGAGTCAGAATTTGAACGCAAGTCTGTCTGACCCCATGTTTTGTGGGGAAAGAATGGGCTCTGCATTGAGTCATTCTTAGTGCTTACGCATGTATTTCATTTCAGTGTTTATATTCCTGGATGCATTTTGAAAGCCAAATAATGAGGGGGATATTAGTTCTCCTATGCTCTCTTCTTTTTACTGGTAGTGCTAGTAATTGAGAATTATTGGAGGGGAGTTTCCTATCTGACAGCTGCTAGTTGTACACACTGAAGCCAAGCATTTATTTGGGAACTGACAATCCAGAGGCAGAGATCCCTGCCTCTCTGTGCTCCCCTGTGGCCTGCCTTTTGGCTGACTATTTTTCATCAGCTGTGGCACCCTAAGCAGTGGAAAGAACATCAAGTCCAGATCCAGGCTGTTTCCCTCCTTTCTAGCAGGTGCAGCTCCCTGTGTTTATAAAATCAAGGGTGGGGGTGGAATGGTAGTGGATCGAATAGTTAAACTAGATGATTCTTTGGATGCCATTTAGCCACACCCCACTCCTCTCCAACTGTCAGCCATGTCTATAAAACAGAACAATCATACCTGCCCTGCTCTATGCTTTGAGGATAAAATGAGTAAGCCTTCGTGAAAGGGCTTTGTAGTCAGTGTATGGAATGACTGTTATTTAGATCACAAGAGAACTTGAGTGACTTGCTAAGTAAGGTTTCAATAAGATTAAAGCTTTTATTTATCATTCCCCATGCAAAACATAACAGGGATGTTGAGAGGCGCATTGTAAAGGGTGAACATGATCCTACCCTATGAGCTAAATTCCAATTAACTCTCCTGCCACCGCACCCCCTGCTTCCCTTGATTCAAAGATCACCAGCCTCATCCTCACCACAATGATGCCATTTTGCCTTGAGCCCCTGCAGGGCAGGAAAGGGCATCCTCTCAGGACATGGGGACATCTGTGCAAGAGAGGACACTTTGCTTGCTGGCAACCAGCTGGCCCCCTGTGTCGGCAGATTTGGCTTCCCTCCTAGGAGTCCCCACTGATCTCTCTCCTAGGCACTTTCTTCACAGAGTCAAATAGCAGGTGTTGAGACATACATTTCATACATTTAGAAAAAACTTTGAAGTTTCTCTCTGGCTACATTTCTGTCCTTTCCTGGCATGGTTCCTATTATATCATGGGTAGTGCATTTTGATCAGTCTTTCACAGTCACAGGTTTATTTTTTTCCTACAGAAAGTCTCTACATGTAAAAAGAAAAGGGTCTGCACTTAATCTCAGACCTGGACATGGGAATTGTAGATTTAGTTAATGAGAGCCCATTGCTCTTTGTCTTTATTAATTTCTTTTGTTAGCAATTAGAAAAATAATATCCGAGTACCCAAGAGCCAAGTTTATTAATCTTGCTAACTCATAGTCAAATTAACAAGGAGATACCACCTTTTCTGATTCTTAAAATGAATAAGCTGATAATTAAAAGCTGAAGGCTTGTTCTAGTGATGGTTAATGAAATCAAAGCAATTAGGCTAACAAGCTTTCGCAGCACTAAGTCACAGAGTAATTAAGTCCTTCTCCAGGAAAGTACTTCCCAGTCCTCTTTAGTGGTTGATCCTCATGCAAACCAGTAGGAGGGATGAGTGTAATATCATTACCAGGATTTCTCTAAGACTCCAAAAGTTTTTGTAGGCTCTGTATTAAGCCCTCTGGGAGAAGGAAGTAGGTATAAATCCACTGTTGGTAGACCAGTGTGAAAATATGGGTCATTGTTGTTCTCATCCATCTTTAGGTGAGTTACCCTAATAGCTTCACTGAGAATTTCCAACTTTGGATTAAGCTCAGTGGCCTCTTTGACTTAAAGCATGGGCCAGGACTGACGGCCCAATGATGGGGAACACAGAATACCACCTGGGGAGAAATCAGGAGAGGAGCCAAACTGATTTAGAAATGCAAGCTCTCTGGCTCACAGGCTGTCCTGAAACTCTCAATTTATACTGGATTCAGAAATACTCCAGAAATTTAACCTGAATGTCCATTCTTCCTGTCCACTCCTGTCTGTATCCTGGGTCAGGCCAGAATTTCTACTCACATAGGCTTATTGTAAAGGCTTCTCAAGGGTCTTCCATTCTAGTGTCCTTCCTTTAAATATGTGGCAGAGAAAGCTCTGTCCACCAAAGATTTGTGATCCCAACCCACAGGGAAGACTCCCTTCTGGGATGTCTCCTAGTGGAGGCCACATTTCCCAGCTCCCCTTGCATCCATGTGACAGTTCTCACCTTTTAGTTCTCACATGAAAGTAAAAATGATGTGTCATTCCTGGGCTAAGGTAGCTAAGAAGTAGATGGAGCTTCTCCTTAGCCTCTTTCCCCTTTCATTGGCTTATTATAGAAAACACAGGGACTCTGGGAATGGCAGAACCACGTGGGAGAAGGAACTTGAGCCCTTCAATTACCCTGTGAAGGAAATGCATCACCAACCAGGAACACTCACACTGGAGTGTCTAATGTTAAGTGCTGAGTGTTAAGCAATTGAAATTTGGGAGCTTACTTGTTCAGATGCTAGCATTATCTTAGTTAATACATAATTCATCTAACAAAACACTACCAGATTATTCCTGATAAAGTATAACTCTGTACTTTTGCTCCCCCCTTTTATTTCCCTATAACATGCACACGCACACACACACACACACACACACACACACACACACACACACAAATACAAGCAAGCAAACACAAAAATAAAAGAATCTTAGACTTTCTATTGCCTATTGAAGTCCAGACTTCTTACCCTGGGATTCAAAACTCTCCTTAAACTAACCATCTTGATAATAATGGCTTTATATGCCACTATTTCCCAATATATCTTATAGGCAACTTTTCCTTCCCCACCAAAGGCCTTGAACTAAACCCTCTTGATCTTTGGTCATATCACCCCATGTGCCGGAATTATCTTCTCTGACAGTTTTGCCATTGAAAACCAATTATTTTTAAAAGAATAGCTCCAGTATCACCTCCTTTATGAACCTTTCAGTGAACCCCCAGATTTAAAAGATATCTGCTTCTAAACCACCACAGTAACTATGCTTTTCTTCCTTTATTTATTCACTCAAATATTTATCAAGTGCTTGCCTTATGTCAGGAAGCACTGTGCTTGGTGCTGGGGATACAGGCAACGAGAAAGTCTTCAAAGGGCTCACAGTCTATTATAGAAGAGGCATGTCCAGAGCTACAGTAAAAGCCTGAAATGTTATGGGAAAATCCTCTCACAAGTCAAGTACTATAACATGTTCAAGAGGGAACAACTAATTCAGGTGGAGGAATGAGTAGTGACCAGTCCTGTTCTAAAATGTTTTTGTAAGATACAAGAAACATAATATTTTTTTTTAACATTTAAAGTTCTTCCAGTGTTTTTTTTTTTTGAGAGGGCATCTCTCATATTTATTGATCAAATGGTTGTTAACAACAATAAAATTCAGTATAGGGGGGTCAACGCTCAATGTACAATCATTAATCCATCTCAAGCCTAATTCTCGTCAGTCTCCAATCTTCTGAAGCATAATGAACAAGTTCTTACATGGTGAACGAATTCTTACATAGTGAATAAATTCTTACATGGTGAACAGTACAAGGGCATTCATCACAGAAACTTTCGGTTTTGATCA